TTTTTTTTTTTTTTTGTGGAAAATTCCTGAGGAAACCAGCTGCCTCTATCCTTTGGCTGGGGTAACCTGCTCATGTGTAATAGCCCGCGAACCACACAGAAGATGTAAATCGCACTAGGAATGACCGGTGCAACGAGCTCTGCCTGAGGAGACTTCTAGTGAGGGAAATCGATCTTAGGTCTCCCAAGTGGGAAACCACTCACCTAACCAACTCAACCAACCCTTTGGGCTACTGTTCGATCTTTAATGAAGCTATTTGTGGAGAATTGTTCTAATCAATACTAAGGATTGTGTTCTAATTATTGCAACATTTAAGGTTAGAGGAATTTATATGTTTCTGACTTTAAGTTTGAACATCGTTATATGCCAACCAAAATGAAAATAATGTGATCCAACTGTAGACTGTAGTAGGAGTAGTAGTACAGTTACTAGTTACTAGTTAAAAAGGAAAAAACTCTTGGTGGGATGGCTTTGCTCTGCACAACATTAATGAACAAAGAGTAGTCATATACTATATACTATTTCTATCAAGCTAAGCTAGTAAATAAGCAATCCCATTTAATTAACGAGCCTGGGTTAGCATATTATTAAAGGCGGCACGCTGATCTGATTCTTGCCTCTGCAACATTCTCTCACGGTTGATTTTCTTAATGAAATCATCAAATCTTTTGTTGGATTCCTCTGCACTTACTGAATTAAAGTCCCCTCTCAAACCCCCTCGTCTAAACATCGATAAAGCATCGTTAAAAGTCAATGATTTTCTCAAGTCTTTCCATGTTGAAGCCACTGATGGCAACAAGTCTTTGGATCCAATGCTCTGTGCTGATACAACAACTGGCTCTGGCTCCACTGACCATGTTTCACTCTTCTTCAGTATATGATTCTTCTTTTTCTTGTTTCCTCCTCCGGTTATCGCGTTCCATGTCGCCTCCAATGAGTCATCCTCTAATTCTTCAATATTTTCTTGATTGACCTTTTCTTGGACATTTGTGTAGGTTGTATAGTTGGTTCTTGTAGTTGTCTGAGGTACTGGATTTGTTAAGCGTGGACTAATGATTTCACGGGCTTCAGTCAAATGAGAAATGTCTGGAAAGGACATTTTTTGTACGCAATCAATTTCAATGTCTTTCACACTGCAAGGCATCTCATCTTGAATATCTTCTAAGACAGGATGTGAATTATTATAACGGCTGAAAAAAGACATAACAGTGTCCATCGCAATAGCAGAATTAGTTCTTTTCGGCTTGTCTTCTTTTTCATGATGTTGTGGTTGTGGTGACTCTGACTCATGATCCTGAACCTGCAGATCTTGGGCATCTTTTTCATCTAGAAAAATATTAACAAAGTCTGTTGTAGAGCGGTGAAATTTGGAGAAAGTCAAGATAAGAATGACAACTGAATTGATAAAGAGGCAGATATAAAGAGGAGATGACAAAAAGCTCTTCAAACAAGTAAAAACTTCCTTCAGGTTAAAGAGAAACATGTCAAATAAGTAGCGCGGATTTATAGCTTTTTTCAGCATAAAGAAAGTAGAGATCAGTCCTGTTGATAAGAGAAGAAGCTCTATGGTTAATATCGCAGATTGTACTATGCTTTTCTTCTCTGATAATCTATATGCTATCAACGTTGCCATGGACAGAGATTGTCTATAAGTGAAAAACAAAAGGTGATTTAATTTGTTTGTTAAGGCTAATTGAGGGTGAGATCTTATTTGTTTTCAAGAATTGCAAACTGCAAAGACAAAGAGGGGGAATAGGCTATTTATAGGACTTGGGATTTTCTTTTTGCTGGAGAGCTAAATCTTTACAGTGTATAGCCACTAGATATATTGAGTACAATACAACACCATAGACCCACACAACATCAAGTAAAGGCTTATAGAAGCCTTTTTTATAAGCAGACAATAATGGTGACAATAAATTTCCCACTTATTTAACTTTTTCTTAATTAGTGTTCGAACATAGATTTGGTTAGAATTATAAAAAAGAGTTTTTGAATATGTCCTGAAAAATATTTTTTGGAAGTTAAAGTTGTGTTTGGACGTACATTTTATTTGAAAAAAATATGAAGTTTTGTGAGTGAAAGAAGAAATTTCACCCAAAAACTTCCGTAAATAAGTTTCTGGGAAGAAATTTTTTTTATCATATTTCATGTACAAATAGTATTTAAAAAAAAATTAAAAAAAAAAATAAAATCTACGGCCAAGCTTGATCTCAGCCATTCCTCTTCCTATGCCAAGTTTTTCTTTTTTATGAGTTTAACTAGTATATATTCGGTGGAAAAAAATATAATATCTAGGGTGTGTTTGGTATAACGGAAAATATTTTCCAAAAAAAATATTTTCTTGAAAAACAAGTAGTAATCTTATTTATTTCCGGTATTTGGTACGCAAATTAAGAAAAATAACTTCTCAAGAGTATTCATAAATTATAATTTAGATACAATAAACATGAAGTCATAAACTTTCAAACCAACATCTTCTGAACCGCTAAACTTTCGAACCCGTAAACTATATAATTTCTAAACCCGCAAACTTCCAAACACATAAACCCCCGAACTCATAACTTTGGAACTCGTAAAATTTCGAACCAATCAGAACTGAAAATATAAAATAAAAAAAATTTGCGGGTGGGTGGTGGGTGGGGTTAGATGTGAGGATAGGTGGAGTAATTTTTCGGAAAATGCTTTCCTAACTTTTTCTAGGGAAGTCATTTTTCTCCAATTTCAGAAAAATGTGATATCTAGAAAAATATTTTCCAAACTATTTTGTGCAACCAAACAGTGAAAACTAGAAAAACATTTTCCGAAAAATTATTTTCCCTCGTACCAAACACATCCCGAGTGACCTAAAAGATTATAACAGATAAAAGAATGCATGTAATCTTTATAACATGTTAAATCACACTGTTCTTTTTTACTTGTGGGAGAGTGGAGAGAGGAATGGGTAGTTGGGGCTGAGGGATGAAATGAGGTCTGCATAAGTAAATTAAAACGAAAGAGATTGATAAAATTTCCAAGTTTACCAATAGACTTTAAATAACCACGTAACCTGTATAATTTAAATTTATAACAGTAAGATAAGGATGAGATACTTGCTTTTAATTTAATAGAAGTAAACATATATTTCTAAAACATTTTTCTCAACTTCTCCAACCTTTGATTATACATTTGTAACTTTCTTCATCATTTCTTGAATTTTGTATGACAAAGCGAATCCAAATAGATCATGGTGCTTAAGATAAGATATTTATTAATGGACAAGAATTATATAGAAATGCAACTTTATAGAAAATTTGAATTAATTTACTCGGCATCGATATCTTTGCTTATTATAATTTGAATCAAGCAAGTTAACCTAAAAGTTAATTGCTAGTCTATTTATTTGGTCTTACAACTTAGAGATGACTAAAGTAAACATGATTCATCAAAGTCAGTCAACATATCTATTATATTCTTGTTTGCTGATGTGGTGGTGTTTCAACTTTCAAGTAACCTTAGCTGAATAAATTATCAGGATAATTTGCACTTTCCTTGTAACTATAATAAATTATCTATGGGATTTACTTTCCTCCTCCAATTATAAACCTTAAAACCACTATTAATCATATTTATATCTTTCGTGTCGACATATATACGTCACTATGAAATTGTACCAACACTCGTCAAAAGAATCATCTTCCTAACCATACCCTAAGTTCGAAAACTGAATCTAATTAATGTAAAGAAGAATTGTTTTTAACAAATTAGTCTTGTATTAAAGAATATTACAAAATAGAGCAAGGGAAAAAAGGAAACTCATTCTAATGTTAATAATTGTATAATTAATTAATTGATTCAAATTTCAACCTCTCCCTTTAGATAAGTCTCTCCTACTAAAAGAATAAAAGCAACAGTTATACATGCATACACAATAAACAAAAATGGCAGCAAAAGGGAAGAAATATAGATTAGCTAGTTGAGAAGTTAATCCAGATGTCACATATAGAGTTACCTGAGAAATTACATGGTACTTGTTTACTAATTTTAAGGGATATAAACCAACTTAAAAATAATAAAGACTTTCCAAGGAAAAAGCTCCCGTAAATAAGTCGCTTTATTAGGTAAACATTAAGTTAAACTATTAAAAAGTAAATTAAAAATTGGCAATATGACTATAATCTGTACCACCACCTGTCATTTCCCCACTAAAGTGCAATTGTTAATTAATTTGTTAAAGTAACCATTTTGAAGGTAACCCTTTGCCCTTTGGCTTGTTTTGATAAACTTTTTGGAATCCGGTTATAATTTAAACCAAAAAGGTCATGCTTAAGTCATGAAAATGAAGTTGCTCTACGTAGTTAAACGTAATATCTTGTGGAATAAGTAAACGATTAATCAGTGAGTTAGTTTCCAAGTCAAGACCTAACGAATTTAACTATTCATCCACTTGTATCTTCAGTCAAAATTTTGTAATTTGAGAGTGCTGACGCTTGAACCAATCCCTACGTTAAATGAGCCCTGATATTTTCCTTGTTATATTATAGTACTTCCAATTGCAAAGCTTTTTAAACAATTTTTTAAAAAGGAACTTTCACTAGCTTATAGATTTTCAATGTCTGAGGTCTTTTCTTATATTATCAACATACAGGTTTAATTCAATTACTTTTTTTACTCGATACTCCACTTCTTTTAATCACTCATAAATCGAGTAAACAAAGTCTTTAGTCCAAAGTATTGAAAATGAAATAAATACCTTAAGGGAAAAGAAAAAGAAGAAGAAGAATTAACCCAAATAGCCGTCCACATAATCTCTTAAATTAAAAATAGTTAATATATGTATAATATATATAACTTATGTATAATATATGTATAACTGTGTATAATCCATATATAATCTACGTATACCGGTTAGAAAAAGTAAACATTGATCTAGTCGGCTATTTGTGTAACAATCAAAAAAAAAAAAAAAACCTAAGAACAATGGTGAAACTGAAACTCTTTGACTAGTAAAGTGTTCGAGTTTTTTTAGGAGAGTCGAAAAAAGGCCCTCATAAAAGGAACCATTCAGAATAGAGAAAAAGAAACCTAAATATTTGAAAGTTGAAACTTTCAAATTATTAAGAGCGGATATAAAGTCGTGCAATTATTGAGAAGATTCGAAAAGAAAATGCAAAGAAATTACATGGATATATATATTGTATATGAAGAGAGATATTTGCCCCTCATTTTCTTATTGTATATGAAATGCAAATCAAGCTAAGGGCCACATAACTTGCCGCTCTTACATCTTTCCATTAATTAGTTGAAAAGAATAATTAAAGGTAAAGGTAGCCACATAATCAAATGACTAATTTGTCTGGTGTTGAGGAACACAAATGCAACCCTCCCTGACCACTCGATCAACTTGATTTTGGTCTTATCACAATTTACAAAATTCACAACCATAATAAGCTATTAATTCGATAATCAAAACCCAAAAAATGAAAAATGAAATAACTAAAAGTACAATTCCACTATATTTCTCCATTAATATAATGTGATTTTACTCTTAGTCTTTGTCATAGTACAAACGATTGCATGGGATTGATCATTTAGTTGCTCTTGAAAATAGAAAAGGTTCGGTAATTTTGTTTCAAGGTGTAAATAGTTGAGATACCTTCACCTATTTAATTTGTACAACATAAATTCAGATGCGTTACTTATTACAGTATTCTATTTGGTCTTTTGCTCATCTACTAATAATTGTTACATACTTAAAAGTATTAATGTGGGTCGTGAACAAATTATACTAAAAAGATATCAATAAGGAAGTATATATGGCTATTACTGAAATTATGTGTTGTAAGTGTGAGCCTTATAAATGGAGTTGATTAATATACACGATTAAGGGTTGCTTACTTGCATTAAAGAGAAGCCAAAAGGTTTTTTGTGTTCTTAGCCTTTTATCTAATTAAAATAAATCAAAAAATTCAAATGATTGATAATTAGTCATAAAAATCATATTTATACAATTGATAAGACGATCACATATGCAATCAAACATGAAAATGATAGAAAAGAGAAAAAATAATCCTTTTAGCGCGATCATATAATCAATTATTTAAATTTTTTACTATATCCTTAATGAAATGATTTACAACCACACAAATATTTATGGATTACTTTGGATCATATATTTCAAAAGGATTTTGTTATTTTTTAAAACTCCGTGCTCTATCAAATATAAAAATATATAGATATCCTTCGTTCCCTTGTTTCTAGGAAGGACTCGGCCTTAGGCATTGAAGATTTGGTGCATGAACATTTTAAAGTGAATAGAATGGTTCTATTCACTTACTCGTTGAACATAAACCCCACACATAACTTCTATTTTGGAAGCATTGATATTGGTTCTCTTTGGACGTTCCTCTTTGAAGACACAAGTGACCATTTTAATTTGGTGTGGTCATTGTTATGTCTACAGTGTTTGTGGTTTGGGACGTGAACCTAAAAAAGTTAAGAGGAACGAGAGAATAGTGCATGAATTCGTTGAATTTACTATGTCAAAGTGAATAAAAGCAAACTCACCATACGCATATCTACAACAATATTTTAGTAGAGTAATATATACTTGTTTTATTTGCAACTTGTATACGGTCGAAACCTATTAGTCAG